ATTTCAGGTGTCAAGTCTCAAGTTTCAGGCTTTGTGTTTCGGGTTTCAGGCTTCAGCACTCAACACTCAGTGAATTGTGTAATGAAATCAAAAAATTTCATGTTATATACATTTGGTTTTTGGTTTTTGGTTCTCAAGTTTCAGGTTTTGAGTCTCAGCACTCAATACTCAGTGATTTGTGTAGTGAAAAATTCACATGTTGCACACTGTCATATCCTGTATGCTGGACCTAGATCCCATAATATTCCCACACCTTCCAGGCCTATTTCCAGACCCCACATCTGACTTGTGCCCAGATCCCCTTCCACTGTGCTCCACACCTCAGCAGGATTAGCCCTGCTATGGATTTACCCCTGACCTCCGGATCTTCACTACTAGCCTGATCTGTACACCCCTATCCTGTCCACCATATGCACATTCCATCCAGCAAGACGTCCAGACTTTACCTCCTCTCAGATTCCAGACTACATCCACCAATTCACATATCTCAGTCCTGTTTCTGCCTTGCCTTCTGGATCTCCAGAACTATTCCCACCCTCTGTCCAAGATCCTGTGTGTAACCCCATTTAGGCATATCCCCCCTTCCAGTTCTCAGTTACCTCTGTTTCTGTCTTGCTGATTGATCTTTGTACTAGTTTCATCTCCAAGTTCATTTACTTATGTTCTGTCTCACTTACTAATATGTTTCCACATGCTTGTACATAGCCTTACTCCATTACTTACTGATCCTCTTGGATATCCTCTAGTATATAACCCCTGTACAACTCTCATAGAGTCCTTAGTCTGAATATCAACTTAGACTTGCCCAATCTTTTCCTGGACTTTGGTCCACCTAAGTTCTGTCCTATCCATTAGGCCTAGGGATTGATTCCCTAGGTTGGAGCCTTGCCTTTCCAGCACTTACCTCTTTCCAGACTTAGGTCCAATTCCTGTCTCTCCAACTCTACCTTAGGGTAGTCTACCTCTGTTTGTTTCTACATTGGACTTCATCTGATGTAGCCCCTATTCCTTCCAGACCTCTGGACATCCTGTTCCTTGTACCTCCAGACATCTTGTCCTCCAGACCTCCTATCCTTCCATCCTGTTTCCTGTAGAGATATTACCTTGGGGTCTCCACTTCCTGTGTAGTGGGAACTCCTCTGAGTATTTCCTGTACTCCTCTGGAACTCTCCCATGCTCCAACTTTGAATTATTACCTCCTTTGATTTGGATGATATACAACTACTAAGCTCTGTCATGTTACAATTATCATTCACCTGGGCCCACTCATCTATATTATATACCACCCTCAGCCCACCCATCTAATATAATATATTGTCACCCTTGGCCCACCTGTCTAATATAATATACATCTGGGCCCACACATGTATGTGATAACAAGTACCCTTGGCATACCCATCTATCTGATACACATCTACATTGGTACACCCATCTACATAATATCCAACTACCTCAGCCCATCTGTCTATAGAATATTCATGTCCATCAGCCCACTCATCTACTGTACATATCCCCCACATGGGCCCACCTGCTTCCATTAGGAATAATATCCCTCCTGGCCCATCCATCATAGTCGGGGATATTTTTTACCTTTGGCCCATGGTCCACTGGCCCATATCATATGGGATATTATGCACATCCATTCACTCATATAATATGGAGATAGGTCACTGCAATATGTGGTCATCTTGTGTCTCACCCACTCTGATTTCTGAGAATGAGCAACAGAAAGGTCAAAGACTGGTGGTGGGGATGTTTTGATACTCACCCAGATTTTGAGAAGAAACTATCTACAGCCTATGTGAATGAGAAAGAACAGTGACCAAAAGTGATGTGTGGGGCATGCAAGATCAGCAAGATAATTGATGAGCAGCAGAAGGATTGTGAGCAGCAGCACCAAGACCTGTGAAATGATGTGTGGACGCAGGATCAAATTATTGCATATTGTAAGGTTCTAATCAGTAGTATCTGTTCTGTTAATACTGAGTGTAAATGTCCAGTGTGGTCACAATTGGAGAGTCTCATCAAGGACCAAAGTTGTCCATGGATGCATGGACAACCTGATACTATGGTCCCCCACCTCAATTCTTGTGATAAGCAACCAGAAAATGTACATGCACATGCACATGCTGTGTGCATCAAAAAGGAGTGGATCAAAACACCAAAACCTTCCTGTGAGGTTTATAGTTTGAACACACCACCATTCTCTGGCCATGGTCTCGAACCATCCATGTATCAACTGAATTCATTTGGACATCCATCTCTCGTGCCACTGGCCCAACCATTCACACCCATGATCAGTAGTACTAGTACAAATGTGCTACAGCCATCATTTCCTTCCCCACTCATCAGATTATTTGATGGTGGCTCAGGTGTAGATTCAAGTAGCTCCTCATGATCTCAGTCACCATTACTATTATCTGTTCCCCCTGGGCCATAACAGACAAATAGTCCAACATTGGGTGAAGGATCACAACCTTCATCAAAACAGGTCTGAATCTTATCACAATCTCGGAACCACAATCCAGATACCCCCACTGCTGTTGGAGGCACTCCTTCATGGCCACAGTGGACACCAGCTCTTCAGGAACACTTCGAGACTCACATGGCCAACATCACTGCATAGATTTCCTGATGTAAGTTGGAGGTCTGCTAGTCCCAGAAACAGTTAAACTGTCCTTTTCATTACACCTATAAAGCCCCTGCCTGCACACTGGGTCAATGAAGAGATCACTGTCCTCATCAACCACATGGATGATAATCACACAGACAGTGACTTATCATTTGATCCAACAGTATGATAATCAAACAGAAACAATGTCCCTGCCAATGAAGTTTGGCCTTGCCTCTAGTTTCAACACTATTTGTGAGAGAAGAGGAGAAAGGCATAACAGCAAACTTAGTGTGCAAACATATCAATGAACATCCAAACGTGAATGGATTGCTTGTAGGGTGGAAATACGAACTCGGGGCAGAGTTCAAGCTTATGTCCCATCTATGCCTAGTGCAAGGGTGTCTCCTCCTCCACCCTTCACTCTCTTGCTGTCTATTGACAATGGCTCGAAATCCAGACTTGCCCCCCGACCTACCTCCTGCAAACGCCGCAGGGCTTGCTTATGCTTTAACCTCCCTAATTCTCTCTTGGTAATACCCCCATCATTTGATCCACCATCTGCGGTTGCCGCATCGTCGATACCCATCTGAGACAAGTCCTGGGTCCTGTCCTCAGCCTCAGTTTCGAAATGCTTTGGAAGCGCCAAGAGATCAGAGTACAAGTCCAGAACTTTGAGATCAACTTGAGTCGCTAGGATTCTGGTCATAATTAAGTCTGAAGTAGAAATGATGCAAATTTACCGGGTAGGGTACAAGAGTTGAGTGCCAAAGCCAATGGTGGAGGATGGCTTGCCGTGAACTGTTAATAATAACACTGTGAGTAGCCGATCGGTTTGATAAGAGAAAAAGTAGGTAACATTGTCTGCTGTCCATCGTCGTACTTCGACTAAATTCGAGTCATCACCTTCACCCTTACGGCTCGGGCCTCCTTGTGAAGATCGATCAGCATCAAGTAAAACCCAAAGAGACCCATCGTCTTCCAGGGTAAAGTCGATGATAGGTTTGTAAAATGGCTCGTGCCGTATACAAGTCTCATAGTTGTCGTCCATTGAAAACCAGAAGATAGCAGTAGCCCTGTCCGATATCATTAGCTGGCATAATGTGTGACATATAACACCCACCCGACCACACTGAACACGATTATTGGCGCTAGCGAGGGGATAGATGCCACCCTGTGCACCACAAACACAACCTCGCTATCCTCCGTCGACGCTTCTCCAGGTCGTCCCTTAGGTATTGCAGAATCTTGGCTTTCTTCCACGTCCCCGTCGTCAGCACTTCGTTTTTCTCCGTGTTTCCCTTTATTCTTTCTTCGTCCTCTTTTTCCTTCAGTTGGCTCTATATCCTCGTCTTCGTCCCTCCATTCCCTTTTCTTTTTAGGAGCCTTTACCGTGATGAAGGGTTGAACGGCAGAAAAAACATCGATGTCACGTAGTAGTTTCCCGCTCATCCAATCCCATAGTTTCAACATGGAATCTCCACCACCAGAGATGAGCGTCCCTGGAGAAAACGAGGGAATATGAATCGCAGAAACGTATCTGATCCATATTAGGGTTTCCGAGCTCAAAGAGAACAAGGCTTCGCACTTTTGATGACCGAGGCAGTAGCTCTCGATCGTGTATCCCTGTGGGTACCAGCTGATTCTGATATGTTCGTCCCTATCGGCGGTCACGATGTGCTGCCCGTCGGCAGTTACCAAAAACGTAGTCAAAAGGGAAGCGTGACCTAGAATGAGTTCCCCGCCAGAGGGATTTTCATGAGATGATAAAGCGTCACGCGTGTACCCACTGGATGATTCGTTTGAGCTTGGGTGCAGTTGATAACTAGAGCACAACAAGTTACTGTGGGATATTGCTTGATGTCGAACATTCCTACCGGAATATGTCACCAAACTTGTCTGCAACGAGTATGTCTTTGTTATCCGCAAAATTAATATATGTTGGTTTCTTCGGCAGCACTCTGCGCTGCCTTCAGGACAGCGAAAGGTTAGAGCGTTAGAAGTACACACCTTGAACTAAGGAGTTTTAGATCATCAACTTGCCAGATCTTGAGCTTCTTATCGTCTCCTGAAGTTGCGAGGAACTTTCCGCAATTACTCAACGCGGCACAACGGATGGGTCCTGATGCGATTTGATCTTCTTCACATTTCGCAGTTGAATGTAGGACATCACCCGTGCTGAAAAGTAGTAAGTGTCGGAATGTAAATAAGAAAAACCTGCCACTTAGTGTCAAGGACTTGTATATGAGGTCCTGCGATAACGGTGGAGTGCTCTGATTGCCAAAATAACCGGGTGTAAGGGTATCGAGACATGCCGAACGTTGAACCTCTCGAAGATTATCGGTCTAGTGCTACTAGTAGCTGAAGTAGGAACATCCGAGTACCGACGGCCCGACGTGCAACCTCCGACCCAACCATTCTATTTGGCCTATAGGGAAGACTGAAGACTGCAACTAGTTTTGAAGGCGTCATCATTGCGAATCATGCGTACCGCGATTCCGATTACTTCTCGTCCCTTGGACTTAGTCTACTTCACCTTTTTCCTGGTGCGTCAAATGAGCTGTTAAACATCCTACATACTTGACGGAAATAGGTCCATATACCCGCAACTCTGCTCATTGATCTGCAAGCCCTGTATCCTCCTTCGTTAACGCCGTATTTCATACGCGGTTTCCCACAATTGTATGTCCAGATGTCGAACGACCCGTTGATTGGAAGCGTCTTGGGCATGTTGGGAGATAGCAAGCCTTTCGTTTGGTTCAAGACCTTCCTTGCAGTTGAAGCGTATGAGTGTCCCACTAAAGATTGTTCCACATCCTAAACTGCATCTACGTAGCCTCTTTCAACTTCCTGTCTTCGTGCTCGGAGCAAGAGGCCTTTGGCGAGGTGAGACATCCCTGAGTTGTATCCGCTTGAAACATGAATGTGTCTAACCAGCAATCAGATTCGCGATCCATCTACGTGCTTCTCCTCATATACGCCGCATCTACCACCACTACAACTTTACCGTGCCTGTCTGTCTTGATTACGACGCCTACAACCAGTGCGCAGACCATAACTGACAAAGTACTCTCTGTGACAACTTCTCAACGCTTCTTGTTGTTATCAAGCTACATTCCGTTCTTCATGATACCCTTCATAATGACGATCGACATGGCTTCTCGCCTGTCCAAACTGGTCACAACGGGGATAGATGCCGCTGCTGACAAGAAGTCGTCATAATGTTATCTTAATGCAGTTAAGCATTTTCTTTCGAACTAGGACCTTTGCATTGTCTTTCCAAATTTCACTGTTTCGGTCCACCGTCCGGTATATTTGAAGCGTGAATGTAGAATAAGTGGAGATCTTACGCTGGTTAATACCATTCGATTTGAGCTTGACACAGCGGTCCTTGAGGCAATAGAGGTCCCCGACTCCCCGCCAAGAATTTGCTCATGAGTCGTGAGCGGCTGTTTTCCTCTGCTTTCACCGGTCCAAAGTCAGTGAAACGCGCAGCTCAAGAGACAGATATCGAATTCATTCATCAGTAACATTGGTATCGCCGGCGCCAGCCCCCAACTCGCTTTTGTGTCTATCGATTTTATCTCATTTTGTATTTTGTAGTGGCAAATGACTGATCGATGATCAATGAAAGTCAATACTTCATTGTACATGGAATTCCAAATATTTGGTGCCGTTCGAGCCGTGTGGCTTATTGTCTATACAGTTTATCTCATATTTTCCCACGCCCCATCACCGCTTGTACTCAAGATATTGGTAGTCCCGTCTAGTACTCCCCCTCGTCAAGACCTCCGCTCCTCAATATGGTGGGTGCTATCACCCCGAATCACATTTTTATGCTAATAATGACCCACATCACAGACCAAACGTACACGCAAAGTTGGTGTCACCGGAAAATACGGTACTGTGCGTATAATATCCTATCTTGTTGCAGGCGGACAATTGTCTCAGATGTCTTCCTTGTAGCGTTATGGTGCTTCCCTGCGTAAGCAGGTGAAAAAAGTGAGTTGTTTGCTCTAGGATCATGCCATGTGTTAACCTGTGATATCCAGATGGAAATCACACAGCACGCTCGGTACACCTGCACCTTCTGCGGCAAGGTCAGTGAAAGATCTGATGTGCGTATGTGCGCGACCATTCTCATTTCCTCACAGGACTCCGTGAAGCGTACCGCCGTTGGTATCTGGCATTGCAACTCTTGCAAAAAGACGATCGCTGGCGGTGCATGGACAGTATCGACGACTGCGGCTGCTACCGTACGGAGGTGAGTCATCCTTATTCGCATTGTTAGGCGTCGAGTCTGACTATCTGTCTAGCACCGTTCGTCGTCTGCGAGAGTTGACGGAGGCATAGATAAAATCTCGTGGTTTCTTTTGCCATGCCCTTCTTTAGTCTGTTCCATATATCTCGACCCAATGACTATGAGCTCATGATGCACGTTGTATATTCAATACGTGTGAACGCTTTACCATAAATCATTTCCGAGGACCGTTGAATATGGATGATTCATCAATCTTGCAAACTTAATAGTCTGCACACATTGCCATTAAGAATCAAGAAATTGTATACATGTGCTGAAGTGATATATACATCAGGAGGAGATAATAACGAAATCAGGTCAATGGACCGTCGTCTGAGCCATCTACTTCATCGGTGGGGCTTAAGCCCTCTTCCTCGCCACTGTTATCCTCCTCTTCGTCATCATCATCATCATCACTTTCTTCCTCACTTTCATTGAACATAAGAGAAATATACTCATCCCCGAGCCGGGCATCCTCGACCGCGGCATGCTGCGAACTCAAAACATTGTCAGAACTAGTATCAGAACCAGGAATGACAGTGGAAGAAGTAACAGCAGCAATATCCGAAGTCAGTGAGGCTGTTGGCGCTGGAGGCTTGCGGTTGCGGTTGGCACGAATGACGTGTGGAAGCTTGCATCCTTTTGTCGAGCAGCTTCCTTTCTCAGCAAAGTCTGGGCACTCTCTGACATGTTGCATCTCGCAGTCGAGGCCCTTGGCGCAGTAACCAAGTACTGCGAAGTCACGACACACGCCGTGTTGCTGTCCCACACGGACGTGCGGGAAGTGACAATTTTCTCGAGTGCATCGTCCGTTGTTGGCAAAATGCACGCAGAGAGGCGTCCTTTCAGGGGTCGGGTCGTGTGAGAGGTTACAGGTTTCAGCCGTACTGGAGCAGTTTCCATGCAAAAAGTTCCAGCAGATGGCGATCTTGTGAGGATCATGCTGGTACATGCAAGTCAGACCGCGGCTGCAGGCACCTATTGCAGCACGAGCGTTGGGCAAATATAATTTTAGCAAAGGTACTGTGAAAAAAAAGGCTGACCACGCACCCGTAGTTGTGAAGCGGGGGCAGGGTTTGTCCAGGTATTTCATGCGCTTATTTCTGCGTCTAGTAGATGTCATCAGGTTCAATCTGTAGCAGAGACTTGATCGGTGGACGGACTGTTGAGAACCTCGAGTGTTATCTAGAGTCATGTTCCGGTTTCTTGGGCGACGCTGACGAACCCGTGAGGAGGCCTTGGGTTTGTATGCACGGCCAGCCGGGATCAAGTGTCCTGTTGTTGTTCTGGAGAAATCTACTTGCTGGGGAGTTGACCGAAGTGGAGCCTTGGGTGGAACTGATGGAGCCTTTGGCACTGTAATCAAACAGCACGCGGTTACAAAAAATGGAACTACCCCGTAATCAAATACTGATGAGGAAACAAACTCACAATCTTTGCGCACGAGAGATCTGGTTGACGATTCAAAAGTCACGCCATCGATAACAACATCACGAGTAGACGAGGCCTGAGGTGGACGGGGTGGTCTTGTGGACGGGGGGTTGAATTTTATTGCTGGTTTCTGATATTCGGAGGGTCTATAAGATGCTAGCGGTCTGTACTTGGGATTAAAATATGCATTGCTCCTTGAGGCTGAGAAGGATCCAACGGATTGCTGAGTCGATTTATGTTGATTAATGGCACCTGCATGGCTTGTTAGAAATAATGTCCCAATAAAAAAGTAATATCACCTGTTAGTCGGGCAATTTCTTCCTTGAGCGCTGCGTCCGATGTCGAGGCCATGGTGGGTGTTGAAGAAGAAGGGTTGGTCAGCTCCAAATGATGATTAACCAAACTTGGACCATGACAAACATAGGTACATACACTGTAGCACAAATATAAGTACACACAGTGTAGCTTGAACTGATCTTCTACAAAGGTACGATGGCTCGATATAAAAGACCTAATAAACAGCAGCCTTCTTGCAAGGTGCCACTGCCACGAACGAAACCTTTGTTTTTCTTGGGTCTGTTCGTTGCGACTTTGTGGTTCTGGATGCCGAGTCATTCTAAATCAGATGCGTCAGACAAAGTCAACGACGTTCTGCGCACGCCCATCGAAAATCATTCTCTGACAGCTATACTGCCAATTCTTTCACTCTCTTTTGAAGGTCTCGAAATTTTGTTGTCTCCGTTTCTCGTTCCTTCCGACACCATTCGAGAAGTCATTTTGATCTGCCCACAAACAATCCTTTCAGATGCGCGACGGGTACTCAAGAAGATCCTGTCATACAGTGACATCGTTGACCACCCCAATCTCTTATTGCTACCTTATACAAGCTCTTCGTTCTACAACAGTACACTTACAAGTGCCGTGTTTCGAGTTAGAACGGAATGGGTTCTCGTTCTCGACCACCATGGTTTGCAAGGCCTCAGCAGTGGACAACAAACTTATTTGCTCAATCCACTATCCATTTCCCTACCAGTCGGACCTAATGGCTTCCTCCGATTTCTTGCCAATTCTAGTCGTATACTTGCAATTAACAATCTAGAGCCTGCCGAATATCTCATCCCTCCCTTCGTGGCACCGACCCACCTATTCCCTCGCACTTTTTCGCATCTCGCCGATTCTGATCCATGGCTTGCTTTTGGCGTGCACGTTGCGAAGACTCATCTCGAGATGATAGGAGGATTGGTTCTTCCATCTGACATCAGCAACCTCAATTGTTGCGAGCAAATTTCTCGCCTTCCATCCCTCGAAATGACTCGGATAGAGCACAACCGGACAGGTATTCTATCAGCGGACAACGACGGTCGCACGCAAAAATCAGCTTCGGGTCGTTTCGTTCTGGTCGTTCCTCATTTAGAAGATCTCCATGCTTTCATGCCTGTTGTCTGCAGACTCCAGTCCATTGGTCATATTGTATCGGTCTTACTGTACCAGGCATCATCGAGCGATACCATGCATTGTTCTTTTGAGGACTGTGCTCTTCAGTGCTCGACGCTTTCTCACACCGCTCCGACCTTCCATAATTGGCTAGATTCTCTGGATGCCTCGCCTGATGTTGTCTTCGCTTTGGATGTTCAAGATTTTCTGTCTGTCACACTTACGATGGTTCTTCTACACGAGCCCTACCGTAAAACCACGTTAATTAGATTGCCTCGAGCTGACATACCACACTCCGATTGGATCGGTTCACTCAGCCTTCTTGAACTTCGCAGTTAGTGACAAGTGTCGTTCTCAACGTTATAATCTAACCGAGAGCAGATTGGAACGTACCCGAAATCACCATTAGCGTCATAACTGATCATAGACCTCACTCTTTGCAACGGTTGCTGACGTCCTTGACCCGTGCTCGGTACTTTGGAGAAAGAATCGGACTCCGTATCAATCTGGAGCAAACTGCCGATCTCGACACCTTGAGAGTTGTACAAGATTTCGAATGGCCTCATGGCGATGTCTTTATCCACCATAGGGTCATCCATGGCGGTCTCCTCCCTGCTGTCGTCGAGTCATGGTACCCAAATTCCAACGATTCTTATGGCTTGCTTCTCGAGGATGACATCGAGGTGTCTCCCTTGTTCTTTGCATGGATCAAGATGACTATCTTGCGATACCGGTAAGTTGCTCACGAATATTAGCAAACTTTCCATGATCAACAAATTTCTTGGAGGTATGGTGGACCCGAAAACATCTCACCGTCCGTGTTTGGTATCAGTCTTTACCAGCAAAAAATGATCGAGCTCAGACCAGAAGGCCGGAGATCCTTCGACGCTAGGGCGCTTTTCACCACCGATGGCATCTTGAACCCTAGCACCCCATACCTGTCCCAGATACCCTGCAGTTGGGGCGCGGTCTACTTCCCACAACACTGGCGCGAGTTCCATGACTACCTCTCCATCCGCCTCTCCGAGTACTCCATGAAAATACACGAGAACGTCGTTCCCGACATCCGCTCCAACAAGTGGGTCAAGTCATGGAAGAAATACTTCATCGAGCTCGTCTATCTTCGTGGCTATGTTATGCTCTATCCAAACTACGCCAACTTCACATCACTGTCGATAAATCACCTCGAGATTGGCTCGCATGTCAAGGACCAGCCAGCGGAAGAATACCTCCGCAAGAAAGCGTTGTTCATGCTTCCCTTGATGCCGTTGACTAATGCCTCGGTGCCACTTCACCCCGGCCTGCTTGACTTGCCAGAGCAGAAACTCCCCTCCTTATCTTCCTTGCCCGTTCTAGATTTCATGGGAAAGCTTTCTTCGACATCAGACCTGTTGGAACGAGGCACCAAGCGTCGGACGGAGCTTACTGGCTGCAGTGCTACGATCTCTTTGACCTACAACGCTCGTGAGTTGATGTGTCTTCAGGAGTTCACCTAGAGTGTTGAGCATTTGGTGGTAGGCGTTCAGGGCGCCGCCTCGCACAAGTCTTTGTCATTGTCTGTCCATTGGAATTAACGATGGCTCCGCAGTCTCAAATTGACATTTCAGCATACACAGTAATAGCGGCCAAGACAAAAATTGATTCAATCTAGGGTAGTTAAGTAAATGAGCAGCCCATTTTACTTGCATGAGTGACAGCCATGAGTAATTTTGTCTTTCTAACGACGCGAGCAATGATAGTGATACATGATGATATCCGAACCACAACCAGAATCACACCGATATCTGCGAACTGTCCAGCCCAAGCGCGTGGAGGAAGAGATTGACGTTAGCCAGCTTCGTCTGTCGCACCTCTTCATCTGCTACCCAGCCCTTGCTGACACTTGTCACAATATCCAGTACTTTTTCACGGAGGCTTGTGACAAGAACAGATTGTTGGTCAGAAGAGGCGTGCAGTGCAAGCGCAGCGAGGAATTGCCAAACAGGCTGGTCAAGGATGTCCGTAGGAGGAAGGGGAGCCGCTACGGGGAGAGGTTGGGCAACAAGACGAGTCGAGGGAAACAAGAGCACGAAATGGGGCATCAAAAGTTGGAATAGATGATCAAACATGGTTTGCCTGCGAACGTTCATATATTAGAGTAGATCATATTAAAGTTAGAAAATTGTATACCATTGTTGAGCTTCCGCAGGCGTAGGTATTTCTGAGGACTCATGCGCACTACTGCCCTGCTTAACTATCTCGACTCGACTCAAGAACAACGTTAACATGGCGATTCCAGGCTGAGTACGATGAATAAGTAAGTCTGTGCATGATGAGACAAAACGCCCATACCCGAGTCTGAGCAGAGACAACAATGTTGGTGCGATCCAAGAGTAATCCAAGCAGCCCAGTGATGACCCTCAGCTCAGCCTTCGCGATCACAGGCAATATACTCTGTAGAACACTTCCCAAAAAGGCTTGCGTCTGTCGCTCCACATCCTGACGTTCTGGAGTTTCCTCTAGTGAGTCGAGAAGAGGGGCAAGCTTGACGACGTCGAGCTGAGAGAAGCAGGCGACTAAAAGCGTAAGAAGCGTGAGCATCCTAGGTGACGCAATGTGGCGGCTGAGCCGTGGCAGAATTTTTTTCCCTTTGACTGGGGTAAGTAGGGAGACAAATGGATGGGGGTCACTGGGAATGTGTCAACATAAACGAAACAGTTTCCAAACATGTTGTAACCCACCTCGTTTCAAGAGGTAACATGACCTTCAAATTTATCCATATTTGCTCGACAAGATCGTTATATGTCGCTGACCTGGAAAATTGTCAGTGCCATCTCGCAAAAAGAAATTGACAAAATACCATGAGATAAAAGCTTCCTCGTCCTCCTCGTCCTCTTCTAGAGGCTGATCTCGCCTGAGTTGTTCGATATTCAGGACCAGATCATAAAGCCCTTCCAACACAACAAGTGTTTGCCGTTGGGTCAGTGGGTCCTTTCGCACCACGCCGTCACTCTAAATACAAAACATAAATAGGTCATATTAGAATGAAGGTATCAAAACGCACTCCAGCAGCTTGTCCAAGCGCCTCGCGACCGAGTTTCGCAGCCTCTTGCGCAGCACCGTTTCCATCCTCTTTAGATATGTGAGGATGAGTACCAGACATGGTAGGAGTTGCTGAAGAGGCATCGACCTGCAGAAGCTGTCGCGGTGCAGCCTTGTAGCTACGGCCAGACGTTTTACCAAGAGCGCCCTGCAGGCTGTGCAAAGCTTTCGAAGTGCTGAGCATCAGGAAAAGAGGAAGATCTTGTGGAAGACGTACAGTGCAATCCCTTTTCCTTCTCCCTAAGTCGTGCGTTGTTGACAATCCGTTCGACCTGTGCTTCCATCTTTTGCATTGCACTTTGCCTTCTCCCACTGCCCTTTTGTGCCAATCCGAGACCGACGCCGCCACTGGAGCCAAATTTGATCACACGCTCATCCTGAGACTGGAGTCCCAATCGTGAACGAAGAATGGCACCATAAACTTGAGCGTAGAAGTCTTCAGCATAGGGATCCTGCGTAACGAGCTGCGAGACTTGAATGCGAGTAATGAAATCCTTATCAGATTGTGTCATCAGATCATTGTAGCGAGACTGCAAATCGTCATGAGCGTGAGGAAAGTGAACGGACTGCGGGCATCACCATGTGTGCGATCTTGGCAGCCTTGCGACGACGCCTCTCTTCCATCCGCTCGGTTTCCATGATCTTACGCATGGCCTCAACCCGCAACGCTTCTTGCTCAGCCTGACTGATGCCCTGCATATCTCGCATGAACTCAACTTGTGCCATCTCTGACAAAAGTCTCTGTTGCAGTTGGATGCTCTGGGGCATATACTGAGTGCCTTGCTGATTGAACAGTGCGTACTGAGAATCGACGACAGGAGAATGCGTGCGACGTTGTGTGTCAGCGTAAGGAGACTGCCTACGCGCGAGTAAATTCGGCTGCTGCTGCTGCTGCTGTAAATGTGATATTTGCTGCGCGCGAAGCTGCCGTTCGAGTTCTTCCATACGGAGGCGCTCTTGAAGCTCCTTCAATCGCTCCTGCTGTTGACGCTCCTGTTCTTGTTGGAGGAGGAGTATTTGCTGTTGGTGTTGATGCTGCTGATTGAAACGAGGGGAAGGTGCAAGATGAGGAACTATTCGCGGAGTGGACATTCGGGCTTGCTGTTGCAAGCGAAGCTGTTGTTCTTGCTCCAAACGAGCTCGCATGCGGTCTGCAAGCAAATGTTCCTGTTGAAGCCTCTGAAGGTCTTGCCGTTCGAGTTCTTGCACGCGAAACTCTTCTTGTCTGCGTGACTCTTCTTGTCTGCGAAGTTCTTCCTCTCTTTGCAACTCTTGTTGCAGCTGAACTTGCAGAAGCATCTCTTCTTGCTGCTTGCGCTTCTGTTGAGCAGCCCGCATTTCAGCCTCAATCTCCTGCAGAGTGCGAACACCCATCTGGTTGATGCCATGAGAGATGGGCTGCTGTTGACTGAGAGACCGATGGTCCGCGTATGCATTGAGCGCTGGGGACCTCGAGGGCGGGAACGGAGACTTCATCAAATTCGAGGGTACACGCTGATGACCTGCAGCACGAGAAAGCATGGAGAACGGCGACTTGTCATCCCATATTGACTCAAGGGATTTTGGAGCTGGAGAAAGCCCTGTGACGGAAAATGTTAAGAACCGAAACTGATTGAAGGTATCTGACCACATACCTCGATCACGAGACTTCGACGCAGGTTCCGTTCGTTCAACCACAGGTGTCCGCTCTCTGACAGGCTCTGCAGTAGGAGTGAACCTGCCACGTGTAGCTCCAATGGGCGTAGGGAGAGTTTGACTCGTGAAATCGAAATCTTTGCCTGATTGCAGCAAACATTGTTGTCACTCTTTTGCCCTTGCTAATGACGATTGCATCTCACCAACAGCACCTGTCCCACCAAAGGTTTCGTCATTCAGTTCATCACCGCCCTCAAGGAGTGCATCTCCTAGCCCGTCATAGCTCTCTTCACCCCAGGTGTAGACCGCAAGGTCCTCGGTTTCTTGGAGGCCTCCCTCCAAAAATTTCTTCTTTTCTTGTTCTAAGTTGCTTCTTTCGAACCCAAAGAAAGACATAAGAAAGAGAGGAGAGCTCTCAGCAAGCTGATGAGTCTGATTGCGAAAGTTGGAATCAAGACTTACAAGCCCATCTCCCCGCAACAAACATGACCATACACAGACTACCCGCTGCCGGTCACTAGTCAATCTCAACGTAAATTCGTGTGCTTCTCCAACGCTTCTCAGATCAGGCTGACGATGTAAAGTTTGATTGACACTTCTTTTCGACTACAAATATTTCCTACATTTGTCACGAACGTCCTCTCGTGGTCACTTACATGACGCCATTTTATGAACCTCTTCCAAAAAGTCTAGCAACGTGCTGGCGCTCCAGGCTTGGGTATTACACGAGTCGGCACAATATTGTCCATCCTTATTTGTCAGCTCGGGGATGCCAGCCCAAGGGTCAGTCTGGATATGATGCTTAGGGGTGAGCAAAATTTTGTGAAGATAGTGAAGGGTCTGAGTTGTATCCTGCCAGTGTCTGTTAGCTCGCAGAGATTGTGACCGTCCGTGAAAGCCTGTACTGACCTCTTTGCCTGCACCAAATCGTATGTCGAAGTGGAGGTAAGCGCGGAGGAAATATCCAAGCGGCCAACCCCATTCAGGGCCCTTCAGAACAAGTACGCCGCTTAGACACGTAACATGACACAATCATCACACAAACTTACATTATGATAGTTCAGTCCCTTTGCAACACACCGGTCCGTAGTGTCATTAGAGTTGTCATATCGAGGCCGATATTGCATGTCACTTGGGTCTAAGGTTTTCATGCCAAGTGGACTTCGTAAAACCCGGTCAGCGAGGCGGAGTGCTTGCAGGGCATGCTGAGCATGGAACAGTTCTGGCGCTACGGTCATAGCGATCGGGAAATTTGGTCTGAATTGGTAATCAGACCATTCTCGGCCTGGGCCAGAACCATACACATCCTTGTAGATGCCCCTTCTATTGATGATAGCAGGATCCACATCATAGCGCGAGTCATCGCCGGCGCCTGTTTAAGAATAAGAATGACGTGTAACAACGAAAATAACGATTGGTCTTACTTAAGGGAACATAATAGCATCTTTCGAAGGACTGCTGTATAAGATCACCCCAGGCCTTGTAGGTAACAAAAGTATTCTGCCCATTGACTTCAAAGGATCACGTTAGTGGGTCGTATAATGAGCCAGTAAAAGAAATCTCACTTGTCGCTTCAACACCCTTGAATGGAAAACTTCCAAAACTCGACAGCGTATCGAGCCATCGTAGCGTACTTTTCAGCAAACCGGTGATCTCAACAGGCGCGCCGTCTCTTGGTGTTCCAGGAACCCCCTTCGTGCCCGCCTTCTCAGATTCTCCCATCTTATCCATCCAAGTCCCACAATTGTGCTGATTCCCCCCCAAAATAAACCCTGTCTCC